AGCATATCGTCTCGAGAACCTCGACGGACACCCTATACCCAGAACCTGGAATATAGGGAATCTCAAAAGGTTCTACGCTTGAGGTATACATCCACCTTAAATCAAATTTGTTTAAGTTCGCATCTACATCTTCCTCATACGAAAGTCGCTTAGAAACAACTACCCTTGCAGGCTTCACTACCTTCCACGTCTCTCTTCTTGCAAGTATGTCTCTAAAAGCTCAAGAAGAGGCTCCATAACTACCTTCACTACCTTGATGAATCCTTCCCCTCTCGGTTCACCCCGTATGTGAACAAGCATTTGCCTGCCCCCACTGGAGGCACATGAGAAACCTCAGGATCCACTCGAGGCCGTTTCGGTACAAGCACATACTCGATCTCAACCAACTCATCCTTCCCATTATTAACCACTCGATCAAGCTCATCCCCCTCAACACAGTGATTACGATCATCTTCACTCACATGAGGGGCCTCCACGCAGATCGCTTCACGAGATTTGCTACTACTTGATTTAGCTTGCTTTAAGGGGTCCCTCCTTCCTTGCTTTTTCGCACCTCCAGTAGCCTTTTTCCGAAGAGCCGCGAAATCAATGCACCCATCTAAAAAAAAAAAAAAAAAACCATTTACTCACAGAGGGATAAAAAAGAATAGCAGAAACAAGACAAAATAAGGCACAGAGGCATAAAACGCGTAGACTACACGCAACGATGTAGGCGCCTGACCCTTTGGAATAATACAACTCGAATCGAACTCCAAAGCACATAACCTCGACTCCTTAATCCGTTTCTTCATATTCTTCATTATCTTAAAAGATTCGCATACCGGATTCCAAACAAGGGGAACATCGGACGTCGGAGCCCTTACATAAAAAAATAAAGTACTCCATTTTTCCCACTTCAATTTAATCCCCTTCAAGAATCTGTAAGGAACCCGAGGACGTGTGCAGAATAAGGGTAAATCACTTGAACGATGTAGTGTAAACAAGGCCTTGAACATCTCAACACTAATCGGTAATCCCACTTCGATCATTCTTTGTCGAAAAGCTTCGAACGTGAGAATCACGTTCGGAGTTAATTGACTATATCCTACCCGAAATTCCTCACATACCTTCAAAAGAGTGGAGTGAGGCACAATCTGCGAGGAACATGTCAAATACCCGAAATTCCTCACATACCCGAAATTCCTCTCTCCTCACACACTTTTCCACTCCGGGCTCCGTGCCCGGCTTCAACCTCACACACGGATTGCGCGGCTCCACTTCGCGCGGAGCCGAGCCGCACGGCTCCACTCACATCCTCGAGCCGCGCGGCTTCGTCTACTGGTTCCGCAGAAATTTCTCCGGATATCCCCAATCGCGTGCAATCGGAACGCGCGATGTCTTTCTCCGGTGCAATTTTTTTACCGGAACTCGACCCAATTACCTTCCCTACGGTGCCAAAGGTCATCTCGGTCTCTACAATCGACTTTCGTAGAATAATTTTCAACTGTTTCGTCTTCCCCGCTTGGGACATATAACTTATTTTATCTGATGATCTTCTAGCCAGAGAATATTTTCATTTCTACACCGGAGTATATGGAGCAAAATAAAAGAGAGAGAAATATAAAATAATAAATTTGATTACTCACCCATATTTATTCGACGTGAATCATGATACTCCTCTCTATTGATTTCACAAGGAATTACTTACTACAAGGCACTAATTTATATTTAAGCACTTTAAATATAAATCCACTCACCCATCCGGGCCACACAATAATAATAAAAATTTATTATTATCCTTACGTCAACGACACAAACAAGAAGATCGAAATACAATTCTACTCTCGACACGATCCGGCACCTCTCCCCGATTCACTCCCACATCGATTCGAGAGTGGGGGGCTTAATGATATGCATATTGGCCTAGTTCAATAGACCCATATTTACTGGACCACAGGCCCAACTTAATAGCTACTTCTACGAAGGACCAATCACACCCAAAGAAAAGTTGGGCCCGTTAAATTGATCTCAGCCCAATCAATAAAGTATAAATAGAACTTAAATTCATTTAATGAAGGTACGCATTTTATTATTTGATCACTCCCTCTACAAAAATTCTCTCAGCTATTATTGGTTATCCGGACGTCTGACTTGAGCGTCGGAGGGGTTTCCGCCGGATCAACCCCCGGCTTAGATTACGTGTTTTCTATTTACAGAATCCTTGAGCAAATTAAAGTTTTCAGGACTATCTAGCTCGTGAGCACGTGACCTACTTTGCTCTACCAGCTTCAACATTCCATGTGATTTATTTCTTACATCATCACATACAAACATGAGACAATATATTTTTGTATCATCACATACAAACATGAGACAATATATTTTTGTATAATAATCAAATGACACTATTGATTGAATATGAAATGATCATAATTTAATGCAATATATGTATGAAACAATATCATAAACTGCATTGTAGTCTTCTAAGGAAAAGATCTATAACAAAATTAACTTATATTCCAATGTGGACTCCCATATTGGACTACCTATGATACTAATGATTTACTATTTTATTTATTAATTTTTATTTTTTTTATTTCAATTTCAGTCACCCTTGAAGTAAGGTTAAATTCAGCTTAATTTTTTAGATTGTGTGGAATGTTCTCTAGTTTGTACTCGTTTAGTGCAAAAAAATGCAGTTTCTGATGCAGCACAATCTAATATATTAGCAATGAGGAGGCACATATTATGATCATCTGTCAAAATGTGGAGCTCTAATGGAATAAAACGGATACAAATTGGAGAATATTCCACATAAACTAGAGTATTCTACTAAATTTGACACCTCAATAGTGGACGTGTAACAAGATTCATAGTTGAGGAATAGTTGTATTACCCAAAGATGATGGATTTTTTTTTAATTTGAGCTTCCCTCGTGGGGTAGCCGTAATTTACCAAAAAAA